TCACTATCTCCACTTGGATATTTTAGAGGTAGTTAAACTTATTAAGTCTCCCCTATTTCAGTAAATAGTAACTTTATTGTTTTACTCAGACCTTGATTCTTTTTCACTTTCCATATCTGATCCCTCAGTATATCTCGTCAGCTTCTACCTTTGAACTATGCCAGGAAACCAACAAATCCAATCCACTGTCTCTGTCTCCACTACCATCACCACAGACTACAGTGCTGTCAGTTCCCCTGGATTGTTGAGGCAGGTCTTTCTGTTTCCATCCATACTTCCTCTTCAGAAGCTATTTTCCACTTGTCAGTCAGAGTGAGCATGAAAAAGCAGATTGTTCAAAACTTGCCAATGTTTCTTAAAAATAATCTTGGTTTGGGGACAGTAAGTGGAGGTATAGATGAGTCAAGATTGGCCTTGTATTGCTAATTGTTGAAACTGGGCAATGACAACACTGAGTTTATTTTACTGTTCTTTTTAGTTTTGTGTATTTTTGAAAAATGAACCAGAACCAAAGCCTTCAAAAGCTTTACAGTTTTCTGTTTCAGCCTCGTTGAATATGGTGGCTTCTAGCTATATGTGGCTATTGACTAGTTGAAATGTGGCTAATCTGAATTTAGATGTGTTACGAGTATAAAATATACGCTGAACTTTAAAGATTTAATAAAAAGGAAAAAATATCTTGCATTTTGTTATGTGGGTTACATGTTGAAATGATAATTTCTTGGTTATATAGAGCAAAATAAATATTAAAATTTCACTTTTTTAATAATAGAAGATTAAAAATTACATGTATGACTCATCTTGTCTTTTTGTGGGAAATGGATCTTGCTTCCCCTCTGACCTCATCTCCTATTGTTCTTCTCTTCTTTATTCTCACCATTCCAACCACATCAATCTCAAGTAAAATATATTTCCGCCTCAGGATCTTGCACTTGCTAAATTGTCTGCCTCAGGTTCTCTTTCTCAGTGTCTGTAGTTCATTCTCTTCTTTCCTTTAGAATTCTGCTCAAGCCATTATCTTGTCAGATAGGCCTGATTTATATAAAGCCATCATCTTCACTCTTTATTCCCCTTAATCTGCGTTTTAAAAAATATTTTTTAGTTGTAGGTGGACACAATGCCTTTATTTTTATTTATTTATTTTTATGTGGTGCTGAGGATTGAACCCAGTGCCTCACCCACACTAGGCAAGCACTCTACCACTGAGCCACAACCCCAACCCCTCAATCTGTTTTTTTTTCTTCTTGGTAACACATTACCATATTAGTCCATTTCTCACTGCTATAACAAAATACTAGAGTCTGAGTACTTTATAAAGAAACAAATTTATTTAGCTCAATATTTTGGAAGTTCAAGAGCACAGTGCTGCCATCCCCTAGCACTAGGTTCTACCTCTTAAGGATTCCACCACCTCTGTGCTGCCATACCAAGGCCAAGCTTCCAACACAGGAACCCTCAGAGGGCATACTCAAACCATAGCAACCGCTGACTTTTCTGTTTTGTTTATTTTTCTATACCCTGCGATCCTAGTATAATACTTGATATAGAATAGGTAGATGGTAATATTTATAAGATGAATGGTTATAGGTTGTAGAAATAAGTTCAGTGTAGATCTATGATCAGGGTTGACTACATCTGCAATAAGATTCAGTTTCCCTAAATGTATAAAGAGTAAAATTTGCTAAAGTAAAATAAAGTAACTCTTCTTCTGGTTTATATATGAGGTATTCCCCCTTAAGCCTCATGTGTGTGATAAAACAAGAATGTTTAGAGGTGAAATGATTAGGTTATGAGAGCCTTAACCTAACCAGTGGGTTAATCCACTGATATGGCTTAACTGGGCGGTAGCTATAAGCAGGTAGAATATAAATGAAGGAAGAAGGTCACTGGGGGCATTCCTTCAGGGTTTGTATTTTGTCCCTGGTTAGTGGAGCTCTGTTTTCTGGCTGTCATGTCCTGAGCTGTTTTCCTTAACCACACCAGTTTGCCAAGATGTTTTGCCTTACCGGAGGCCCAGTACAATGGGGTTGGCCATCTCAGCACTGAGACCTCTGAAACCATAAACCAAAGTGGACTTTTCCTCCTCTATATTGTTCTTGTTAGGTATTTTGGTGACACAGATGCAAAAGCTGACCAAAACCACTCCATACTAGTCAATTTTGATATATTTGTGTGATTAGTAAGATGAGAGACACTTATGAGAAATTCAAGAAAGTAAATTAAAATATAGACCAAGACACATTTTAAGAGTCAGCAATTTCTTTTATCTAATAAAATCTCAATTCTCAAAGGAATTTTGCAAATTCTTTTGTTGTTCTATAATTTGTATTGTATTGATAGAAATCCAGTTCATTGGTCCATGGTAAGGAGCTTAGAAATGTTTAGGATACACTAAAATTTTTGTTGTGCGGGTAATTACAACAAAACATGTTCTGTGCCGCGTCCGGCTACGGAAGCAGAGTCTGGTGAGGGGCAGCGAGGTTAAGAAATACACAGGACACCAAGGTTCTTCATCCAGGAGGAGGTGTGTGTGCCTTTATTGCCAAATTTGTTCCCCTTATATATCTTTTTTAACAGCTGCGGGAGATTACTCAAAAGCGAGGAGGGAAGAGTAGTAACTGCGTCCTTGGGTTACGGCCACTGTCCCCTATCAGGAGGCTCCGAACAGGTCAAGATGTTCCCAAAGAGGCACATATGTCTGAGGCAGATAAACAGGAAACCGCAACCCTGCGTCACGGCCTTGTGAGCTGGCCACCTGCATCACAGCCTTGTGAGCTGGCCACCTTGACATGCAGAACAAGGAACTGGGGGCTAGGCCCCAGGGGCCAGGGAAGGCCTGCTACCAGCAATCTGTTTATGAAATAAGTTTTGAAAGCAGTCATTATTTTTTTAGATAACTAAATATCTGAATCAAGAAAAGTATCCCCCAAAAAAAGAAGGGAAAAGGGATAATTTTAAACTTATTTGATAGACCCAACCTGATCTTTTCTTAAAATTGGGAGCCATCTCGCCACAAAGCCATGAAAAGATAATTTCGGCTTTACTATAAGTTACTACAAATTCTGAATCTGCTTAGAATGCCTGCCCGTGCCTTGAACTCACCCATGCCTGGCTCTCTGACCACATAGCAGCACTCTCTGAAACTTTAGTGACATCTCATAAACATTGGCCTTCCTTGGCCAGACAACAACCCTCTCTGAGGCTCTAATGGTCTTCATAAATTCTGATGTTGGGGCCAGCAAAAAATGTAAACTACCATTAGTGTGATGCTCATCAGAGTTCTGTTATCTGTAACCCCCCTTTGTGTAACTTTCTGGGCTATAAAGCTGGGCTGCAGGAAAGCTGGGGTGCTGTTTGTTCCCGCCATTTTGGGAGGGAGAGGCAGCCCGGCCGGTCGAAATAATAAGCTTGCTTTAATTTGATTTTAATTGGAGTCAGTGATCTTTTCTTGCATCCTGGTCTAACATATTAATTTTAAAATGTAAGATAACTAAAACATACTAATGAAATAAAATCAAGGAGATTTTTTTCCTCATATGAATGTATTTTAAAGCAGGGTTACCTTCAAAAACAAAATGACACCAACATGATATATGACAATTTGGACCATGAAATTTCAATGGACAATATTGATAAATCAGGGTTAACACTGTATTAAAGACCATTAACTAATACTCATTTAATAAACTTTTAATAAAGTGTATTATATGTCAACATTGTAGCAATACCCAAGGTTATACAAGTACAGTTTTTAAAAAAAACTTTTAAACTGTAGATTGACACAATCCCTTCATTTTATTTTATTTATTTTTATGCAATGGTGAGGATCCAACCCAGTGCCTCACACGTGGTAGGCAAGTGCTCTACCATTGAGTCACACTCCCAGCACCAATACAATTATACTTTTATTGTAGCTGTCCTTTACTGAGAGCTAATTAAATGTGGAGCAAGTGCTTTAAAGGAGTTATCTCAGTTCATTCTCATGGGAGAGATGCTTTTATTATTTTCAATATACAATTGGGGACAGAAGCTTTCCAGAGTTCTGCTTTCAAAAATTCACCTGGAGGGATGAGAAGAATAATAAACATAAAGTACTAAGTGCTCCAGTGGAGAGTGCCTAAGAAGAACTGCCTTTAGCTGGTGGCAGGAAGGAAAGTCTTCCAGAGGACAAGATGCCTGCCCTGGATTTGAAAGATAGGAAGGAGTTTGCAGGGTAGAGGAGAAGAGTGGAAAATATTGCTAGCATCTCAGAAGAGTGGAAAATACTGCTAGCATCTCAGAAGACTCATATGACATGAGTTGAGGATTAGTGATATTTTTTCTATAAGCATCTTTTTCACCACATACCACACATTACATAGTTCTTTGTTTAAATCAAGGTCTGGCTTGGGCCAGGAGGGAACAACTGTTTGAGTTGTCATGGAGTTGGGGAGGAGGCTGGAGTGCTGCAGGGATTGTAGAATCAGCATATTGGCTAGAACTTTGTTATTCATTTATCTGTTGAACACTTTTTGGCCTTAACAAGTCTATAGAATGTATGAATATCTGGGAGACTTCATAGCTTATTAGGTTCTGGCTGAGTTATTACACTTTGGTTAATAAACACTAGACAGGAAGTCAAGAGTGGCAATGGGACCTGCCTGAACAGAGGGATGGCTTCAAAATGGGGCAAAGGGCACTAATAAGGGAGAGGGGCATTCAAACAAGTTGTCTACATAATATTTTACTTTTGGGACCTGAAAAATGTAAGAAAGTACTTTTGAAATCAAGCATTGTAGTTCAATATTTTCTTATTATTTGCCTATTCTGTTAGTTAATTTAAACAGCCATTCCTTGGAGATATGGTGGATATGGTTGAAGACCATTGCAAACAAGTGAGTACTGCAATAAAGGGTGTCACATGAATTTTTGCGGGGGATGGTTTCCAGTGCACAAAAACATTATGTTTCTATTCTACATGTGTCTATTAAGTATATAAGAGCATGTCTTAAAAAAGTGTATACTGAATTCAAAAAACTTTATTGCTAAAATAATGCTAACAATCACCTGAACCTTTAGACAGGGGTAATCTTTCTACTGGTTGTTTTGATGTTGATGGTTGTTGACTCATCAGGGTGGTGGTTCCTTAAAGCTGGGGTGACTGTAGCAATTCTTTATTTTTATTTTATTTATTTTTTATTTTTTTGAAGTTTGCTGCATTGGTCAACTCTTCCTGTCATGGAAGATTTCCTGTAGCATACAATACTATTTCATAGTATTTTATGCACAGTAGAGATTCTTTTGCATTTGAAACCAATTATCTTAAACCCTGTCCCTACTTTATCAGCTAAGTTTTTGTAATATTCTCCATCCTTTCTTGTCATTTCGATAGTATTCACAGCATCTTCACCAGGAGTAGGTTCCGTCTCAAGAAATCACTTTCTTTGCCCATTCATGAGAAGCAACTCCTTATCCATTAAAATTTATCATGAAATTGCAGGAATTCTGTGACATCTCCAGATTCTACATCTATTTCTAGTTCTCTTAATGTTTTTACCATATCTGCAGTTACTTCCTCCACTGACATCTAAAGCCACTGCATGTCAACCCTGAGGGTTGGAACCAACTTCTTCCAAACTCCCATTACTATTGATATTCTGATTTCCCATGAGATATTGTTTTCATGGTGTTAAAAGACAAAACTTGGGGCCGAGGTTGTGGCTCAGTGGTAGAGCACTCGCCTAGCATGTGTGAGGCCCTGGGTTCAAACCTCAGCACCACACAAAAGTAAATAAATAAAATAAAGATGATATTGTGTCCAACTAAAAAATAAATATTAAAAAAAGACAAAATTACAACAAATCTAGATTTGCAGATCTTAATTGGCTTCATTTGTAATTCTAGAATCAGGCAACAGTCTGGACTGTTCAGAATGACCTCTTCTACCAAATGTACATTGTCAATGACAGAAATATTTTTAAATAAATATATCTTTTCCTCTGAGCAATAGGCTCAGCAGTGAGCAACAAACAATAAACTATGCAGTTATCCAGGTTTTGTGTTCCACTTGTACAGCATCGGCAGAGAAGATTTAGTATAATTCTTAATGGCCTTAGGATTTTTGGAATGATAAGTAATCACTGCCTTCAATTTAAAGCCATTAGCTACATTAAGCTCCTAATAATTGAGTCAGTCTGTCCTCTGAAGCTTTGAAGCCACGCATTGACTTCTCTCCAGCTAACAGTCCTAGACACATCTTCATCTAGTACAAGTCTGTTGGATCTCTTCTTTAGGGTAATAACCTTCTTCAATTATTTCTGCTAGAACTTCTGGATGACTTGCTGCAGCATCTACATCAGCACTTCTTTCTTTCCTTTGCAGTTTTATGTTATGAAGATGGCTTCTTTCCTTAAGCCTCACGAACCAACCTCTCCAGCTGCAGACTTTTCTTCTGCAGTTTCTTCACCTCTATCAGCCTTCCCTGAATTGAAAAGAGTCAGGGTTTTGTTCTGAGTAGGACTTTGGTGTATAATAAGTTTGTGACTGATTTGGCTTTTCATGCAGAACACTAAAATTTTCTTCACAAAATCTTTTGTCCTGTCTCACCTTTCTACTAAGCCTAAACATTTCTAGCTTTGGATTTATTTACTTT